ACACCAGAGAGGTCACACAGACAGAGGCAGCAGCACATTAGTCAAGTCAGCACAAAAATCAAGTCAAAGGACTGAAAGTTTTAGCTTCTGCACAATATGTGGCTGCTGAGCATTTTAACAGACTTATGCTACAGCACACTTGGATGAGAATCAGCACCTCCAAATCCGAGGCCATGGTTCTCAGTCAGAAAAGGGTGGCTTGTTCCCTTCAGGTTGGTGGAGAGTTCCTGCCTCAAGTGGAGGAGTTCAAGTATCTTGGGGTCTTGTTCACGAGTAAGGTAATGGATGGAACAGGAGATTGACAGGCAGATCGGTGCAGCTTCTGCAGTAATGTGGTCGGAGGAGCTGGAGGAAGTGTCTGGAGAGAGGGAAGTCTGGGCATCTTTGCTTAGACTGCTGCCCCCGCGGCCCGGTCCCGGATAAGCGGAAGAAAATGGATGGATGGATGGATGGATGCATGGTCCAAAAGGGTTCAAAGCTTCATGGGGCTTTGTATGGCCATCACTACCAAGCAGTGAGTACACAGTACCTTGATGGAGTTCTTGGTTTGACTCTTGGTAGAAGGGACATTTGCAGTCAGAATATGAGTCGGGGTCGGTGGCGAACGCTAGAAGCAGAATAAACACCACTTCAGGTACAAACGAGAAAGCAGGTTTTCAGGAATTGGGTGCAATGAAGTAGAAGCCAGACGTCTCAGGTAAGTTATCATAACGGATTGGCAACCAGGAGGCCCGAGCCGGTAGATTAAGTAGCCCAGAAGACCAGGGTGATGTGCATCAGCTGCCAATGTCGATTAGAGCCCACAGGTACCTGTAATGAGAGAAGCAACAACGGGAAGATGAGAGAGAGAGAAGCAGCGGGCAACCCTAACACCAGATTTTTCTCCAGGATGCTTCCAAGAAATTGTTAGCAAATTACAATCCATAAATTACCAATTCACTTGATAGCAGTGATGGCTACTAAAGACATCATTTGAGTGCATTTGAACTGTTCTGTAACACAAGCTTTTTTTTTTTTTTCATTTTATACAATAACAGTGTCAGTTTATGATATAGTAAAAAACAAAGCTGTCTAATGATAAAAACTACATTTGTGGACTCTGCTGTGACCTACAGTAAGTTGCATGTTGAGTGAGAGATAATAAAGACAGATTATGAAGAAAAGTTTTTCATTATTCATTCATCATTCAGACCATCACTGACCAGGGCCAAGGAAACATGAAATGAGAGAATAACCATAGTTTCTCAGGTACTTATCTGATCTCCTGGAATTATTCTCTACAGGCTCCATTCCACACTACTAACCTTCCCAAGTCAGTATTTCTCTCTCACACCTCTAATGTTGGATTTGTCTCTTATTTCAGGTGCAAGACGATAAGACTTTCCTATCAATGATCAACAGTGTGCTTCATACAGATGGCTTTTACTTTGCAACAGACTATGACCTGACCCACACTCTGCAGCGCCTAGCCAACACCAGCCCTGAGTTTCAGGAGATGAGCCTTCTGGAAAGGGTAAGACATCACACCACATATGGTATAGCCCCAGTTTCTCAGTGGATTAGTGGGATTCCTTTGGCCAGAATAAAATGCCTATTTGGAAACATTTGTAACCAAGAAAATGATAATAAATGCGTAGCTGTTGGAGTTGTTTCATATGTATACCTAAAAACATCACTTGTCTCAATAAATCTAGATATACAGTTGTATAGCTTGTATTTAGACTTTTTTAAAAGTATTATTTGTTTATTTATTTTGCATGTTCCTTATAAATAGACTCATGTCCAGGTGTAGGTGATATGCCTACCTGCCTTTGTATTTGAATTTGTATTAACAGATGCTAACCATCTGTGTTTCAGGCAGATCAGCGTTTTGTTTGGAATGGCCACCTGTTAAGGGAATTTGTTGCCCAGCCGGAGGTGAGACAAAATTAATGCTCTCTTTTATAGCATTAGTTTTGACTATGGGATATGTTACCCTGTGTATTCTGTCACATTCTCAGAGTGATGATTTTGACATTAGTGTCTGAAACTGTCTACAGTTTCAGCTGCCTCCACCATACTTGACTTCACTGAATCTGTCTTTTGTAGCTTGTACTCAAACAGCAAACTGCAGAAATTGTAGTACAGTCTGTTTTCATGACGCCTATTGCTTAGGTAGGCTATATCAAATAAGATAGAAGCTCCAGAGCCTGTGTCAAATATCTGGCCGCTGATTTATTGTTTTTATTTTGGTTTAAGGACTTGTTTGAGTTATGAGTCAAACCAACTCAGCAACACCCAACCAAATGGCTAATGTTTGCCATGTACAAAAAAAGTTAAAACCTGTCATACAGATCGATTTAGTGCCTATGTTGTGATTATGTCACGGAGGCATAACACAGGAAAATTGGAGGCAATTATGAATCGTTTCAGGCTACATCACCTACCTAAAATGTCATCCTGCGGTGTTGTTGGGTGCCAGAATTGAAGGAGTAGACCTTGAAATGTCACTACGTGCCAACTGCAGCTGCCAGTCAATAAAACTGAAGACAACTGTAGTTAAATGCAGTAAGACTAAATGATTAGATTGAGGAAGTCATCAAAAATGCTTGTGTATATATTGCAATATTCATATCAAGTAAGGTTAAATACACTTTTGTCAGTTGTGAGGTTAGAGTCTAAAGGTTTTTTATGCCCACCTATCATTATTCAGAAACTGGGGAACTTGGAAGAATAATGTTAGGTACGTTCAGCAG